GGAAATATTAATAAATTCTAGTTCTACCTTTTTCCAAAACAGTTACGAAAAATCTCTAAAGTTGAATTTCAAACAAACGATAATTAACATCGTACCAATAATAATTATACAATCCCAACAAAAGATAGTCTACTAATGTGTGTGCCAAGACCCTGGTGTCACAAGTATGTGGGCAACTAGTAGAATATACAAAAGAATAGTACTATCCTACTGTCTGAAATAGAGTAGACAGTCAAAAGTAAAGAAAAGACTCCATCGGGCTGCTGAACGGCGTAAGAAGGGAGCAACTCACCGTGGAATCTCGGTCGGATCAAGGGTATGCACCAGCCTGGTAACCAAATGTACCTGCCTCGGACCCTGTACAATTAAGTACAAAAGTGTAGTATGAGTACATAAACAATACGTACCCAGTAAGTATCCTGTCTAATCTCGAAGAAGTAGAGACGAGATGTCGACTTGACACTTAATAGGGTCAAATAATCTAATAAATGTTATACTAAGCATGGCTAGCACAAATGATTAACAATTTATAGCATGAAGTAAACAGGTTCTTCCTTAGTTGATGTCACGGTTAGCCGTTTACACTTCAGGGCATATAACAAAATTCCGTTCACAGCAATATACCAAGCAATAAGCATACGCAAGTAGTGCCGAGGTCGTACAACCCGATCCAACATAAAAATAAGTGTGCACTGCCGGAGGGTTGAACGGCGCGAACCATAGATGCATCTATTACCCCGCTCGCGAATCATACATGCGACGTGGTCAAATGTAATTAAACATAACAACAGGCAGACAAGAATATATATCAGGAGAGAAATTACTCACGAAAATATCCACTTCTCTTTAAAAAGGCCAAGAAAATGATGTTCCTCTTATTAGATTCATTTACCACATTCAACATGATTTAAGCAATCCCAAATTAATCCCCAAGTTACAAGAACATCACATAAAGCATGCTTTTGGGTTCTAGACTACCCAGACTTAAGCATAATAGTGGCTACGCACGGACTCTCGTCACCTAGTGCGTACGTAGCCCACGCATTTAGTGGCAAATTATTCAATTATTGCACCTATAGGGACAATTCCCTCTTACAAGGTTAGATAGGAGACTCACCTCGCTCCAAAACGTACTTCCAATATCAAGAACGTGCTCAAACCCTCAATTTGGAGCCGAACGATCCAAAACTAATTAAACGAAGTAGGAACTAGTCAACACAAGCTCAAGAGTACGCATTTTAATTACTAAAGTAATTTCCTAACCTTAAACACAAGTTTCCTAAAATCCGGCCCCGGGCCCACGTGTCCGGATTCCAAAATATTTCGAAGAAAGTTGTTCTCTATAACCTAAGGATCAATAATATATGATTTCTACTTCATTCCATAACAAATTTCGTGGTAAAAATCTAAGTTTTATCAAAACCCTAGGTTCTGCTCTAATCCCATGATTTTCACTAATTTTTGTGTGTTAATCTACCCAAAACCCAAGTATTAAACTCACGTTAAGTAGAAATAACTTATCTCACAATGCTATGTTGAAATCCCCTCTTTGAAAGCTCCCAAATCGCCCAAGTGTAGAGATAAAATGAAATAAATGGCCTAAGTCCCGTTTTTAAAAGCTGTGTCCAGGCCTCTGATGTCGCATTTGCGACATCAGGTTCGCAAATGCGAACTTGCAATTGCGACAAAATCTTCGCAATTGCGAACTGGCCCATCTCCTGCTTTTATTGCAAATGCGATCCTGGGGTCGCAAATGCGGACCCTGCAGGGTTCGCAATTGCGATGAAATTGTCGCAAATGCGACGCTGCCCACTTCCTGCCTTCATCGCAATTGCGATGGTTTCCTCGCAAATGCGAGGTTGCAATTGCGAACAAATTCCTCGCATTTGCGAGACCTGCAACTTCCCACAGAAATACCAGAAAACTGGGGTGTTTTTCACCCCCAACCCATGCCCGAAACTCACCCGAGCCCTCGGGGCTCCACTCCGAACACTCACACAAGTCCAACAATCTTGTACAAACTTGCTCGAGCGATCAAATCGCCGAAATAACATCTAAAACTACGAATTCAACTCCAAAACGCATGAAATCCTTAAGAACACTCAAATTCCTATTTTTACAACCGGGCGTCCGAATCTTGTCAAATCAGTCCCGTTTCTCACCAAACTTCACAGACAAGACTTAAATATTATGTTGGACCTGTACCGGGCTCCGGAACCAACATACGGGCCCGATACCATCATGATCAAACATTGTTAAACTCTTTAAATCCCCGGAAATTTCAGTTTAACAATTTCTAACAAAAATTCATTACTCGGGCTAGGGACCTCGGAATTCGATTCCGGGCATACGTCCAGATCCCATATTTTCCTACGGACCCTTCGGGACCGTCAAAACACGAGTCCGGGTCCATTTACTTAAAATGTTGACCAAAGTCAAACTTAGCCTTTTAAGAAAATCTTAAGGAAACAAGTGTGCCTATTTCAACCCAAACTCTTCCAAATCCCGAACCAACCATCCCCGCAGGTCGTAAATTAATTAACGCAAGCGCGGTAAGTCTCATTTAGGGGGACAGGGTTCTAGAAAGCGAAGCGACCAGTCGGGTCCTTACAAGATATGTCGAAATTAAAGGAAAGGTCCAAGAACCCTGAGATTATGTTAATCTAGATTTTGACAAGATCTTAATGACAACTAGTTGGTTATGAAACCAATTGACTTCACTAGAGATAAGCTAATCAAGGACTAAGATTCGGATCTTGACTTCTAGTTTGAATAACTTACGACAACAACTAGTAAAAGAAACTAGTCGCCTTCGAAGAATATCAAAAGAAACCAAAGATATCACAAGAAAGAAAATTATCTTACTACCTTAAGTAATGAACTAGTTAGGGTTGCAAGATAAATCTCAAAGTAAAGTTCACAAAGGTTCAGAAGAACTCACAATAATAATATTAATCTTCAATCTCCTCTACAATGGAAGACAAGCACCCCTTTATATAGTAATAAAGAAGGAGCTAGTCAAGACTTCAATAAATGAGAATTATATTCCCTAGAAGCAAAGAAGACTACCCATACTAAGACCAATGTAGTCAACATACACATAGACCAATGCAAGTCAACATAGATTAAATATATATTCTAGAAACTATTAAATATATATTCTAGAAACTATTTTTGGGCTTATTTGGGCTGCTGAAAATTCCTCTTTTTTGGGGCATATTTGGGCCTCATTCCATCTCCTCTTGGACTTTAATATGGGCCTCCAAATAGTTGTAAGACTTGGCCCAAAGATCCTCCTTGTGCTGGAGCTCTTCTTCTATTATAAGACACTTTTTAATTGCCAATTGAAGCCCATTAAGCTTGTCTTAAAATTTCTTTGTTTGAGACCTTGTCATGGGCCTTCCTGGAACTTCCAGAGCTTCATCCTTCTCCTTTAATGATGTTGAGCTGCCATGGATGCTATATCACTTTGGCTGTCCTAGGAAGCGTAAGATCTTCTCAGCAATATCAATCCAGCCACTGTTGTATTCTGCTTTTGGAATAATCACAACCTTCTTTCTATCACCCAACCAAACTTCAATTCTCACAAAGAGTCCATAGATGTTGTAATTTTGATATACTCTGTATAACTGTGTTTGTTGCTTTCTTCCCCACGTTCTGTAAAGATCCCCTGTACCTTTTGAAGCTTGTTTGAGATTGTCACAAATCCTTCGCAGGTTATCTTCATCAATGGTGATTTTGCTTGAAAAGCGCCTAATGCATTCAGTAAAGGAAAACCATCTGAAGTTGTCATCACTTGTCATCACTGATATCTATTATTTCAAAAGATTTGTCATCTGAAGCGAAAAAGATCTTATCCCCCATAATAAGATAATTAAATGCCTGTTAAAGAAAGAGGTTTTTTTTGGTGGAAGGTAAATAAGTAAAGATAAATTTGGGTGTTTGTCGAAGAGGGTTCTGGGAGAAAAAGGGTATCAAACATGGTGGGGTTTTTTTTTTTGGTCGGAGAAGTTTCTGGGTTTGATTGGAGAAGTTTTGGTCGGAGGAGTTAGAAGTTTTGGATGGAGAAGTTTGGTTGGGGTTTGGTCGGGGAAGAAGTCTAGGTTATGTCAGAGAGAGAAAGGTTATCAGAAAGAGTGTTTTGTTGGCCCACCTCGGTATCTGTGCCCGAGAGCATTTTTCCCCCTACTTTTGGGAAATTGATATTGTTTACCTTTTTCTTAACATGGTATTAGAAAAGACCCATCCCTTATGTCGAGTAACCCAATGTTGGACACGTAGTTATGTTATCCATGCTCCAAGCGTCTAACTCTAGGCGAGGGAATGTTAGAATTCCATATTGGTTGAGACTTGAGAGTATGGCTGAGCTGCGGGGGTCTTAGAGTTCTATATAATTGTGTTGAAGTGTGTGACCATCTCATCTGAATCTTAAGCTGTTAGAGATAACATACTTTTATTTTCTTAGTTATGTCTTCAACACACATCCCCACGTGCGGGCCTCATTCTTTTCCATGGACCAGGTACTTGAAAATTCTTTTTGATAATGGATGGCGATGAGACTCAACTCAGGACCTCCCCATGTTGTTATACCATATTGAAGTGTGTGACCATCTTATCTAAAAGCTTAAGCTAGAGAGAGCACATTTTTATTTTCTTGATATTGTCTTCAACAGATTGAAAGTATAGATTGTAGTCTATTTATAATTTTTTAGACCAGCCTTACCGTGTAAACTAGGTTTTGGGATTGAGATAGGCTTAATGTCCATTTTGTTTTAACTTCCTTTCCCAAGATTGGTAGTTCTACTCACTTCAACTTTGTTTTTCGCCTATGTTTTGAACTAATATGGAGGTTGAGAATAAATGGGTGCTTTTGACAAGCGAAGGATGGAGTCTTTCTTTGTGTAGATCTCCTCTCATTCTCAATCGACACGCTTATTCTGTTCATATTTTCCAGGTCATCATTCCTAAAGACATCTTTTGCTGTCTTTATTCTATGCCAGATAAATGGATGCTTATCGTACTTTGACAAAGTCCCTGATGGATTTTATTGGATATATGGGATGGATCCATATGTCTGGACTGTCTGCTCAGTTCTGCAAGAAAGCGGCCGTATTCCATCAATTGAATCATTGAAGGCAGTGGATCCCACTGTAGCACCATCTGTTGAAGTGATTATAATTGATCGGTGTAACGATCCCAGCTTGAAGGAACTGCAGATTGGAATTCTTAGCATGTCCGCTAGTTGCATCAGCGTAGAAGAAGTTGTTGATCAGCTTGCCAAGCTGGTCTGCAATCATATGGGGTGAGTGCTACAATCTTTTTCTCAGAAGCTCCAACAGACACACTTTTTTTCTTTTTCTTTTTGTAATTAGCTTTATTCCCTTTACAAGGGGTGCAGCTCCTGCTGGAGAAGATGACTTGGTTTCCATGTCGAAGGAGCGCAGTGATGACCTGAAGGATTGTCTAGGAACTATCGTGCTTCCAATTGGTAGCCTGTCAGTTGGGCTTTGCAGGCACCGATCGTTGCTTTTTAAAGTATGTTAAACCTGTTTAGTTGGTGTTGTTATAAGTCAGTAGATCTAAATTCTAAGGAATTTAAGGATAAGAATCAGACTAATGGTATGTTTTATCACTAAAATAGAAAAACCTTATGGATAGTGTGTGTGTGTCTTTTATTTTTTCTGCCGTCAGTGTGAAAATGCTTGATATGTGGCCTGTATAAGGTTTTGATGTTTTATCATTAACTTCAATGTGATCATTACAGGTGCTAGCTGACATAATTGATTTACCGTGTCGAATTGCCAAGGGATGTAAATATTGTAACAGATCCGATGGTTCCTCATGTCTAGTTCGATTAGGACTTGACAGGTAAAAGTTCAGCATAAATATAGTGTATGTTATCGTCTTTACTTCGTTTGAAAATGTTGGTACTAGGATAGAAAAAGGGGAAGAACACTTTGATTCATCTTTTGTATTCCTTTCTGCTAGATAAGTATTGTTTCGGGATGGTGTGTAACAATTATAATTAATGCTGCTACTTACTTTTTGTTTGGAAAACTATGATCCCTCATTTATTTTGTATGATATGATCAAGATTTACTTTCCTATTGCTATTACACATCAATTGATAACATTGTGTAAATGATTTGTGCCTATTGGTTGTACTGGTTACAACTCTTTTACCTGGTATTTTATTTATGATATACTCAACTTTAATTTTTTCTAAACGCTACTGGTTTATGCGTTCTTCGATTACGTCAGCTGGTGAAGAACAAGAAGTTCAAAATCTATATGTATTCAGAAAAATGACTGGCGAATTTTCTTATTGTATTATGTGAACTTTTATGACTATGGCGAATTTTCTTATTGAATATGTGAACTTTCCAATGCGATAAAAGAGATCTTTAAAGATTCAAGTCACTACTTTTATTTTATGAACTAAATAAATCTAGCAGAAATTTGCTTCTCTTAGTACCTGCTATACCAAACTTAAGAGACCTTTTTTGTTTTGTTTTGTTGAGAAGGTCAAAACTTAGAGATTTTGGAATTAAGATATCTGAGTTGAATGGTAATTCATTATTAATATGCTGAGGTTGAAAAAAAAAAGGTTCAAAAAACTGATCCCCATTGTTCACGAGATAGGTAATGTACCTTAATTTCTCATACAGTCTTAATAGCTCAGATTCTGATTTCATGATCCCATCCTTTTCTTCTTCCGCTCAGCCCCAAAATGCAGAGAAAGATATCCAAGGCAGATGGTTTAGTCAATGACAGAAAATTATTGTTCTCACTGCTACTTTAAGTTGGGATTAGCTTACTAATTAATGATATGCCTGTCGTCTTCATCTGTTGAACTATTATTCTGGATTCAGTTTATATGATGGATATATGTTAGTATTAAATATGCTAAACATTTGTGTGCTATTTGGATAGTCTCATATTAGGAAGGAGTGCTACTATTGACATGTAACTCTTGACCATACAGGGAGTACCTGGTTGATTTGGTCGGTAAGCCAGGAGTTTTATGCGAACCAGATTCCTTGATCAATGGTCCATCTTCCATCTCAATTACTTCACCTTTGCGCTTTCCGAGATGCAGACAAGTTGAACCTACAATTGATTTCAGGTCACTGGCCAAACAGTATTTCTTGGATAGTCAATCACTTAATCTACTGTTTGATGATTCTTCAGCTGGTGATTATCTAACTCTTACCTGCTTAAACACAAATGCATTTTTGGTGTTCATTTTGTTTGTTTTGAATTTTTTTGTAAAGACGTTTTGTTTGTTTTGAATTATCCTTTCGCGACATGTAACTTGGCCTTTGCCATGATATATTGAGAGACGTTCAGTTCCTTAACCAAATTTAAGATGACTTCTGTCTAGTATGCTGTGTTCCACCAAATACTCCCTTGTGCCAAGTTTCTTTTCATTGGACAAAAAAGGGTCTGGGATCTGATAATCTGTCAAACTTGTTAGTGTCTCCTGAAAACTTTGGCGGTATATTTTGTTATTTGTCTTACTTGAATGGAGTATACTTTCAGCTTGCCTGTAACTGTATTCAATGCTGTAATAACTTAAAACATAATTGAATACATGATTTCATTAGCAAGCCAGAGTTCAACGGTGCTTCCATGCATTTTCTACTCTTTAAATGACATAACACAGGATTGAAGACAATATATTATTTATTTGTGTATATTGTTCCAGAGACTAATTGGCATTTCATTTTATAAAGTACATACCTTTCCATTTGGATCTGTATTGGGCCATAACACAGACCTTTTCTCTGTCTCATCAAGATCAAGACACTTCCGCTGCGATTTCTCAAGATTATACTAAATCCCTCTTGTAGGAATGGAACTTGAACCTTGTTCATAGTCAGATAGGCTAGCAACCTTTGTTTTCCCCCTGAATACATGTTTATTTCTGTAGGTAGCCAATTTGAGTTAAACCCAACGGAGATGCTTCTGCTGGCATCCTTGCTCCCTCACAGCCTACTGTTGCTCCCCCCCCCCCCCCCCCCCCCGAATCTGCCAGTACATCGCCAAGACTTCTATAATTGTGAGTAATCAGCAAAGTCCAAAGCAAGATATCTATGTGATTTAGAGTGCCAAGCTTGACCACTTATTTGGTACCAAAATGCCTCCTGTCTGTACCATAGTTTTTAATTTCGACAGTCCATCTTCTTGCCATCTATTCTGTTCTTCATTTGTTTCTTTAATTTATTCTCTGGGTTAGGTAATGTGATTAAAAGGCTTGATACTAGCTCCACTTGTGAAGTTTCGATGTTGATATTTGATTTTTCGGAATGATTATTTTTAATAGTACCCACACCCACCCATCCACCGATACATTATATATATGTGTGTGTGTGAGTGTGTGTACATTTGATTAAAAGGCTTGATGTAACTTCAAATATCAATTTAAGGTGTTGGCATTTGAGTCTTTTGGAGATTGAATTGTTTTTTATATAGATGGATGTATATTTCTTTTTGATAAGGTAAATGATTTTATTGATTTGGGAAAACTCCCGTATACATGTATTATACCCAACAGTAAAAAGCCTTCACAAAAATATAAATGTCTACAAATGACTCCAATCTCATATACAAACAGGGATCTCATGGGTGCACCAAAAGCTAAAAGTAGTAGGCTATTTCTTAAATGTGCAGAAGCTCTCCTATTTTTCTCCTTCCGCAGAACCCACATGATGGGGGCAAAATCCCATGCCCTATGTCTTCTCGTTTATTCTTCTAAAGGCTTCACTAAACTTGGCATGGTCGACTGCACCCCGAAGTAGTTCCAAACAGCCCATAATCGTGAATCCACCTGACAATACAACAAGGGATGATCCACATCTTTGCTTGAACGTCTGCACATAAAGCACTAGCTAACATATGTAATCCTCTTCTTCCGCAAGTTTTCATCCGTCGAAATTTCTCAATTGCTGCCAAACAAGCAAAGAAGCACCTATTAATCCAAACTGATACATGAGGGAAGCCCGTGCTTCCTCGCCAAAGCTTGTGGTAGTATGACTTTAATTGGAAAATTCCACCTCTCCTTGCTCCCCACCTCTATGAGTCCTGTCTAGTGAGTGTTGGGTTTTGTTTTTTAAGCATTTCATTCAACCTTTGGAAATTCATGAGCATATATACATGTATATTTATATACTTAGCTCTTTTTGGATCGCAATATTCTCCTTTTGTTTTGGGGTGGGGTGGGGTGGAACCTAAAATTAGAATAGGCAAAGACAAATTTATAACATCAGTGTCTCTAGTCTCTACCTTGTGCCTTGATCATAACTAGGAAAGTAAGTATGAATTATTTCTTTTCCTTGTGCAAATAAAATATTATTCCCTTTGTCCCATTTTATGTGGTACACATTTCTTTTTAGTTTGTCCCACAAAGAGTGGCACCTTTCTATATTTTGAGACAATTTAACATTAAACTTCCCATTTTCCCGATGATTTATAGCCGCGCAAATGTCTATGTTTTAGACCACAAGTTTTAAAAGTCTTCATTTATCTATTAAGCTCCGAGCCAAATCAACGATGCCAAATAAATTGGGATGGAGGGAGTACTATTTTGTTTATGGACAATTTCTCTTCAGTTTTGTTAGTGAATACTAGATCCATCAAGTCCTGTTTCAGGGATTCATAACGATTAGCATCTGGCGCAGGAGCAGCAGCTGATGGAGATGCAGGACAATCAGACAGAAGTTGCATGGATAGAAACAATGCAGTCCCTAGTTCAAGTAACCGTGATGCAATTTCTCGGTTACCTCTGCCTCCATCAAACGCATGGAAAAAGGGGCGTGATAAAGAATCTCAACTTTCCAAAATGTATAATCCTTCTAGTATGTTAAACTCAATGAACGTGGGCAAGGACCTCGTTCCTGTGAAGCATGTCCCTCCAATAGGGGAAGATGCTCAACCACTAATGGCATTGTCTCACCCAAGAGCAGATACAATAAATGATGGAGAACTTCTTAGTGATGTAGAAGAGTTCAATATTCCATGGAATGATCTGGTTCTGAAGGAGAGAATTGGGGCAGGTAATCTGTCTCTGCTGGTTTCTAGCCACTTGGATACTGGTCGGATGTTTGTTTTTTCTCTTGAAGGGTGCATGTTATATTGGTATCCTATAGTACCATAACATTTCTTTTTTGTTCTAGCTAACACAGTTTGTCGACTTTCAGGGTCTTTTGGTACTGTTCATCGTGCTGATTGGGATGGCTCTGTAAGATACTTGTCTATGTAGATCTTAGTTTTTGAAAGTCTTCTATCTGGAAAAAATCTCAACGTATCTCTCACTTCAGAGATTCATTTATGCAATGTAAATTTGTTTATCTCTATTGTTCTTTTATTGGGGGGAAACCATATCTCTGTTGTGGTTTAAACAAGCCAACAAGGTAGCACTCAAGCTCCCTCCAAAATACATTTTACTGACTCTTTTTTTTCTCTCCAGATTTTGTCGTTTTTAATTTTGGGGAGGAGGGGTAGTATTTTGTATGTCCATTGGTGATAAAAATATCTGAAGCTGCTATTTACGTTGACTTTGTTCCTTCCTGATTGCATCACATGGAAGTTTGTATCATTTAGGACGTTGCTGTGAAGATTCTCATGGAACAAAATTTTCATGCGGAGGGATTCAATGAATTTTTGCGGGAGGTACGTCTGGGCCTTCTCCCCCATCTTCCAACTAGCAATTAGGAAGAGCAAGAGACAGACAAGGATGCGTGGAGATTGAGGATCAGTGATCATCAGTTTTATTTAATTGTTTTCCCTTCTACACTCTTCTAATTCTGTTTTCTCTTTGGTTGTCCTAGGTTGCAATTATGAAGCGGTTGCGACATCCAAATATTGTACTTTTTATGGGTGCTGTCATTCAGCCACCAAATTTGTCCATTGTTACTGAATATTTATCGAGGTCTTAGACTATTTTCCCTTCCAATTAACAGAAAACATTATGCTATTCCCAATTTAGCTGAGTGATTCCCATGTTATCATGTATTTCAGAGGTAGCTTATATAGACTTCTTCATAGACCTGGTGCGCGAGAGTTGTTAGATGAAAGACGTCGGCTGTGTATGGCTTACGATGTGGTATGGATAAATGTGTCCTACTCCCTCTTTCTCATTTTATTTTTTCAATTGGGGCTAATCTCTCTATGGTCTTGTGCAGGCAAATGGGATGAATTATCTTCACAAACGCAATCCTCCCATTGTTCACCGAGATTTAAAATCTCCAAATCTGCTAGTGGACAAAAAATATACAGTGAAGGTGAGAGTAAGAATTTCTTTGAGAAACATAAATGTGCAATCCTTTTTGTCATGATTAATATATTGTCGGACTTGGCTGTCAGAGTAGTCAAATCTGAAGGAAGTATCATTTTGGATTTTTTCATTAACTTCCTCAGATAATTTCCGGAGGTTCAAGAGAAGTTCTATAGTCTTATAGTTCTATAGTTTCACAATCTTCCTAATCTAATCAAACTTGCTAAAACACATAAAGCAAGTGGTGAACCAGCAAGTATTTATCAGATTTCTCAGATGATGGAGAGTCAACATTGCGATCCCATGAAATGGGTTAATTTCCAATAAGAGAGGATATATGTTGAAGCTTCTCTAAAGGGAAGAATCGTTTGTACATAATTTTACATTTTGGAGGGAAGCTTCGTCCAAAATCTCTCTTTGCGATCTTCTAGACATATACCATCTATAGAGTGGTTTTTCAGCTGCTATGTAGCAATAATGCTGCATTCAGTCCACCTTACATATCATAAACGCGTGGATCCAGTGATTCAAGAAATTTAGGAGTCACTATGAGGAAGATTTATGTCTAATTAAGATTATGGGTTTTCTACTCATGTTTTTCCTTAACATAACTTGTCCTCCTTTTCGACCTTCAGGTGAATTAGTTTCTTTTTAACTGGAAATATTAGCATAGATGTGTCTCCCCTCACTCCGGCAATATGTGTCTGGTCTTCTTCCTTTTAATCATCTTGGACCATCGAGGAAAAGATTAATTTCTTGATCATTCAATTTGGCTTTTCAAATCCAACCAAAAAAAGGGCAGCCCGGTGCACTAAGCTCCCACGGGGTCCGGGGAAGGGCCGAACCACAAGGGTCTATCGTACGCAGCCTTACCCTGCATTTCTGCAAGAGGGTGTTTCCACGGCTCGAACCCGTGACCTCCTGGTCACATGACAGCAACTTTACCAGTTATGCCAAGGCTCCCCAACCAAAAAAGATTTAAAAAAAAAAAAGAATATCAAAAGGTCTTGAGGTCTGATTGAGAATTTGCTTGAAAAAGAGGAGGCATTTTGAATGTCTGTCATTTTCTAGGAGGTTCTGTCCTCCATAGCTCAGCAGTATGCATAATGTATTACCTGTACTTTTAGTTAACATTATAATTTATTCTTAAGTTCTGAACAAACTTGGTAGTCTTGCTCAAAGTGCTAGCGAATATGATTTTGTTGCTTTAATGAATTTATTATTACTTATTTTCGTTTATGGAATTTTTGATGAAGATAGTATTTCTCTTTATCAGTAAAAGATTCTAAATGTTCTCACTTGTCTGATGTCCTCATCAGGTCTGTGATTTTGGTCTTTCTCGTTTCAAAGCTAATACATTTCTTTCATCAAAGACTGCTGCCGGAACTGTAAGTTCTTGATTCAAGCTCTGGTGCCTTTAGTGTTCTGTTGGTCTTTTGGCTCGTTGCTTGATAACTAAATAAGGAAAAAAATGATTTGGTGCTATTTGTGACAGCCGGAATGGATGGCGCCTGAAGTTCTTCGTGATGAACCATCAAATGAGAAATCTGATGTATACAGCTTTGGTGTCATTTTATGGGAGTTGGCAACACTACAACAACCATGGAGTAATTTGAACGCACCACAGGTTTGTGTTGGGTATTTTAGGTGTAAATTGTGATCTAAACAATTGAATCTAGAGGGTAACAGCTAATATATCAACTGAAAGGACCTAAAGCTATCTCTTGGGATGTGAAAATGAGTTGATCCCATATGGTTCTTCTGCCAGGTACTAGGGCACTACAAGTCGGGATCACCTCTTCCGGGAATGTCATTTCAATTTCCTTACGTCATCTACCTCTCTTCTTCATGTGGTTAATGTAGAAAGCTTCCTTATCAAAAAATGTAGAAAGCTACGCATTCATGGGCCCTTGAATGGGGAAGTTCTGGGGATGCTACTTTCCACTTCTCTCTAGGTTTTGTTTTGCTTATTGTGGTCTTCTAATAGTTCATATTTTGAGAAGAGAAAAGAAAAGAAAAAGTTCCTACTTCGTGTAACATTTGTGTACAGTTTGTCAAGATTATAGTTAAGTAGAGAACTAAAAGTTGTGGCAAGTTGATGACTAACGTAACAACAACAACAACCCAGTAAAATTCCACAAGTGGGTCTGGGGAGGGTAGAGTGTACGCAGACCTTACCACTACCCCAAGGGTAGAGAGGCTGTTTCCGATAGACCCTCGGCTCAAGCAGATGAAAAATACAATATATCAGTACCAAGTACCAACAGCAGAAAGTATAGAAATAATAACAGAATCAAAATTACCAGAAAATAGATGAAAAACAATATACAGTAGTACGTAAGAAAGGCTCGGTACTATGAAAAGTGAAAGAGAAGTGTGGACACAACAATAACCACTAGCACTCTAGGACACAACCCTGTCAGACTAGCCTCTCATCCGGTACGGAGTAGCAAAGAGCTTCGCTACCCCCTATCCTACAACCCTAATACTAGACCTCCACACTTTCCTATCAAGGGTCATGTCCTCGGAAATCTGAAGCCCCGTCATGTCATGCCTGATCACCTCTCCCCAATACTTTTTGGGCCGCCCTCTACCTCTTCTTATACTTGTCAAAGCCAACTGCTCACATCTCCTTACTGGGGCGTTCAGACTTCTCTTTTGCATGTGTCCGAACCATCTGAGCCTAGCTTCCCGCATCTTGTCATCATCGGAGCCACACCCACCTTCTCCCGAATATCTTCATTCCTAATCTTATCCATCCTAGTGTGCCCGCACATCCACCTCAACATCCTCATTTCTGCTACTTTCATCCCTGGATATGCGAGTTCTTAACCGGCCAACACTCTGCCCCATACAACATGGCTGGTCTAACCACCGCTCTATAGAACTTACCTTTGACCCTCAGTGACACCTTCTAGTCACATAGGACTCCAGATTCTAACCTCCACTTCATCCACCCCACCCCTATACGGTGCGCGACATCTCCGTCGATCTCCCCATCCCCCTGAACAACCGACCCAAGGTACTTGAAACTGCTTCTCTTGGGGATGACCTGTGATTCAAGCATCACGTCCACGCCCACTTCCTTCGACTCGGCGCTGAACTTGCACTCTAGGTATTCTGTCTTAGTTCTGCTAAACTTGAAACTCTTAGACTCAAGGGACTGTCTCCAAACCTCCAGCCTCTGGTTAACGCTGCCTCGCGTCTCATCAATCAGAACTATGTCGTCAGCGAATAACATACACCGTGGCACCTCCCCTAGAATATGGTGCGTCAGTGCGTCCATCACCAGGGCAAATAAAAATGGGCTAAGCGCAGATCCTTGGTGCAGCCCCATAACAACTGGAAAATGCTCCGAGCCGCCTCCCACCGTCCTAACCCGGGTCTTAGCTCCCTCATACATATCTTTAATCGCCCTAATGTAAGCAACTGGCACACCTTTCGCCTCCAGGCATCTCCAAAGAACCTCCCTAGGTACCTTGTCATACATGACTAACGTAACAGTAGTTTAATTATGATGAATCATCTAAATATTTTATTTTGTTAATGCGGGGTGAGGTAAAGAAGTTAGTCGACCACATTGACACATGGACGTGGTGCTAGATAGGAAAAGGTGTCGCATGTTAGAGGACGGGGACAAAGAAGCTAATTCAAGAGAGTAAGATTCGAATAGTTATTTGGAATAGACTTGTTGATGGGAAAGCAAATAGAATTAGTAAATACCATAAAGAGGAGGACAATATATATGCCCCAGGGTAGTTCAAGTGACCTAGAATGTAGGTCACAGGTTCGAGCCATGCGCCATGTGAACTAAGCCTTGTATTGAAGCGAAGAAGGGTACAGGGTGTTTCGGAGCCTCCGGTCATCATGATTGTTGAAACTGTTTCCCTGTGATATCGTACATTCTAGTTTCTGCTACAAGTTTGATTTTTGAAAGATAAGATAAGAGAACCATCTGCCGAGCCTCATGACTATTGAACTGTTTGTTTTTTTTATATTGTACATGGTGTAGAATGTGCTGTAATGAATCTGATTTTGTAGGTTGTAGCAGCTGTCGGATTTAGGGGGAAGAGGCTTGACATTCCAAGTGACTTGAATCCTCAAGTGGCAACTATTATTGAGGCCTGCTGGGCTAAGTGCGTTGCTTGTAATTGTCCCCAAGTCATGTCTTTTAGTTTCGTGATTGTTTTAATGTTATCTAAAGTTAGTTTTGATAATGTTGTAGTGAGCCGTGGAAACGCCCCTCCTTTTCCACTATCATGGATATGCTGAGACCAAATCTTAAATCTCCTCTCACACCTCAATCAGGTCATACAGACATGCAGTTGCTCACGTGAATGTGTGTGATAACTTTTATGGTTTCTGCTCATAATATGCATTTGTTACTAGTCAATGTTTCTGGGAGGAAGAATGCTTGGAGGATTATGTCAGGTTTGTCTATCTCGAAATCTGTTTCGTCGTTCTACTGAATTTTAAAGATATTGCCCTTGGTATATCCACATTTTAATCCTAGTCTAGCTGTCTAGGTAAGTTTGACAAACTATTTGGTAGAATGTTTGGAATAACTTCTCCCCATGACACACTTTCTTGGGTCTAGTGATGCTTTGGAAACTGCTGGAGCATCTGAACTTCTGTTTGGTGGATTTGAGAAGGCATTACTTTAGACTGGCCATGACATCATAGCAGCTAGAATTCTGTTGAGAGACCCAGCATAACGAATCTAGGTGCCAGTGAACCACTATCAAGCTTTACTTGAGAGATCTGAGAGTAAATGCTCAATAAAATGGGTTCACCCCTTTGCTTTCTTGCACTCGATTGCAAATGTTTTATGACAATACCTCTGGGCAGTTTCTTCACATGTATAGGGTGATGAAGTTGATAGCTACGTCTGTGTATGTTTTGCAGACTTGTATCTATGCATATTAGTTCAGGTTGCCTGTGGAGAATACTAAGTTTTCTTCACAAATTCAAGCAGCAGCCGCTGCCTTACGGAAGATCCTTTGCACTGGGCATGTCCGTTTCTCTCTAAGCACTGATTGGCCTAGTGATTTTGTTGATGCCAGCAATAACATTTTTTGTATTCTCTGTTCAGAATTATTGTTGTATAATTATATGTACAACATTATAATGAAAAGTTGGATTATAGAAATGCGCACATATTACATACTATACTTGTGTGTGCTTTATGGTGACATGTACGTTTGTTTCATAAGTAGCTTTCCTCTGTCTGATTGCTTCCCCTCAAATTTTTTGAAAAAGGGAACACACGCACTTGGGAAATAGAGTCTCTTAACGCTTCCCTTGCAATTAAATGTACTTAGGGGTGGCAAACGGGCGGGGCGGGTCGGATATGAGCGGGTCAAATGGGTAATTTAAAAAAAACGGATAAATTATCCGACTCGACCCGTATTTGAGACGGATAAAAACGGGTTTATCCGGCGGATAATATGGATATCCATATTATCCATGGCTTCTTAAATATGATCACTTATGAGAGATTTCTAGTATTCCAAACTTGAGGAATTTCAATTTGAGGCTTTACAAATGTAGAAGTTAAACACACTAGTTATTCATTGGTTATCCATTTGGTTAACCATTTTCTAAGTGGATAATATGGTTCTTTATCCATATTCGACCCTTTTTTAAATGGTTTATTATCCAACACATTTTTTGATGGATAATATGGGTGGATAACTGTTTTTTCTTAATCATTTTGCCACCTCTACTTGTACTTGTAATTTTGCATACATATTTTTGGTTGCGGACAGGATAATGGTCGACTTTTAACACAGCCAAGTAGTATTGTTGTTTATGAATTAAGATATATCATATCATCATATTCATCATATTATACTAAAAGTAGGAAGCTTCTAAAGCAAAAGTTGAATTACCGAATTACCCATCAAAAATCAAATAACTATTCTACCCTTCCATCAACTCTCACTCTTACAATATCCTTGGACTAAAAAGTAAAATCATCTTCAACAAATAATAATTTTTGTACCACAATAAAGACCAGGTAATGAGAAGATATAATTTATGCATTTGCTTTTAATGATTATAATCTCTCGGTCCACTTTTCTTGAGAATTGGATGATTACTTTGTCATTTAATTTGATTATTAATGGTTAACTTTTCTGTATAACGTCTTTTCATTTATCATATATTGATTTCTTCTAATTTTTCATGCATGTATCACCATTTAAGAGTTGGCTCTTACAATTCCCATATATTCTAACAGTGTCACATAGTAGAGGCCTCTTATCTTATGAGCTTTGTCCCAAAAAACACACGATGAAACTAGAAAACAAGGCTAGACCGAATGAGATCAATGGGAATGAATTCTGCTCTCCCCTGATGAAAAAGGTATTTCTATTTGAATACCATGTAAATGAGGATGGGATTCACATAGACAAGCACACATGTAGATTCCAGCAAGAATCACGCTCATAGAGCCATTTGCAGGTACAATTCATAGAAATTGAATTCAAGAAGTAATAGTTTGATTGTTCCTTATTCCTGTTTTCCTTGTTGTTTCTTCATTTGTTTCCCTCATATTCTCATACGTATCTAGAGAGCTAGTTTGTATATTTTATATATCATGCATGCCACCTCTTTCAATACTTGATTTATTTGAAGATACTTTAACTGGAGTTTGATGTTTGTGTAAAGACGAAGTGAAAAGAAATTCTTTGGTTAGTTAGTTAGCATTAGGTGTTCTTGGATGTGGCAGTTCTTAATTTTTTGTATGCTTGATCTTATTCAACAAAAGTTAGATATTCTAACATGCCGATCTTTCCAATATAACTATTGTAGATGATAATAATTGATCTTGTTAAAAATTTTAGAGTGTAATTCGATGAAATCTCAAGCATGTAGATTAGTGCGTCTAGATCTCAAGTCAAAATTCATTAATTGGAGGCCTCTAAGTAGCACCAACATGCTTAAAAATAAAAAAGTTATGTGACCAGGAAACTTTCATCGGAAGAAATTTATCTCATTCAAGAACTTTCATTTAAATTTGGAAAAGAAAAGTTCTTTTAAGTTGGAGCCCCACTGCTTGCAAAAATATATTTGAACATATATTATCTAACTCTCATTTTAATTTGTTCGTCGTAATTGATAATTAGATGTTGCATGTTTATCACATTATACAAAAGGGGTTTGGTGAGTTATGCATATGCTGCTGATTCGTCTAATATTCTGTTGCAAATTACGCGTTAATCTTTATCATCTGCAACACTTTCTTTCCCCTATTTCCCTTAATAATTCTTTTTTCAAATTCCTCTTTTTGTTGCTTCTACCGAGTATTTAACCACAATACTATTTATTATTTATTTATTTATTTATTTATTTATTTATTTATTATCCATATCGTATTACTATTATAAATATGAGAAGCGTAATCGGTGTAAAAAGTTGAATTACCAAAATGTATATTACAACGTTTTGCTTTAAAAATAAAAAAATTCTGTATAAAACGTGTCTTGAAATTTTTAGCTTACTTATTATAATCATGAGTATATACAATCTTCTGCTAATTAAAGGTGTTTACAATATCTTGGTATAAGAAAACTTTGAGGTATCAAATCAATATTATATTCTTGTCCTGCTTAATACGAGCTAATTACTTCCTTAAATTTTATAAAATTTGCTTCAAATGTTCTTCCTTTATTGAATTCGTTAAATATAAAACTAATAATTTTTCAGAAACTTACACTTTTTTTGTACTTTTTTAAAATTTTAAGAGTCAATTTCTAATAATATTTATATGATTGTTTAAAATTTTGTAATCAATAGTTTATATGGGGCACACGCGCAACCCGTGTGCCGAGAGACTAGTACAATTATACATACAGACATGTGCGTGTTTGTGTTTAATCTTTAAAACGAAACATAGAGCCCGTTTGGATTAGCTGATTTGAAGAAGCTGATAAGCATTAGGTGCTGAAAAGCACTTTTAAGTGCTGAAAGTGATTTAATAAATAAGCAGTTATTGTTTGGTTACAAGTGCCGAAATTAATAAAAAAAGTGCTGATAAGCTCTGTTTCTGTTAAAAGGACTTAAATAACCTTAGAATTATTTACACTTATAATGACGTAAATTCTTCAAAATTTTAGATTCCAGATCGATCCAAATACAAAATATTCTATTTGTCATTTTAGTTTAAATACAATTATGCTTAGATAAGATAATTTTTATGATAAATATAATTTATTTTATGATAAGCATATAATCATACGTTATAATAATTAATAAATTGACAAAAGTTTTTCAGTAAAAAATAAACCTAAATAGGACAAATTATTTGATGAGAAACAAGCACTGTCTTCATCACCACAACACTTAGAAAGCAATACACCAGAAATTTGATATGTCCTCATTTATAACATACAATTAAAAGATTAATACTTGAGGCAGTGAGTATCGATGTAGGAGTTTTGTTCAAAAAAGGAATATTTTTAGGATAAAATATTAAAAATCATGGTTAAACTTAAAGTGCTTATAAGCTAAAAAATTCATAAGCTGGGGATGACCAGCTTATGGCTTTTGGCTTATTTTTGACTTATAAGCACTTGTCTTATAAGTACTTTAACGTTTAGACAAGCCGAAAAGTGCTTATAAGCTAGATTGACCATCTTATAAGCTTAGCCAAACACCTTCATAATCTAGAATGAAAAAGATTTGCTCGGGTTGGGGCTGTGAGAGCGTTATGCCGTAGTACATTAACATCAAGTGTGGGTAAGTTTTTATAGTAGGATAATCCCCTTGAGAGAGTTATACAGCCTAACTAGTTGTATCAAATTATTAAACGTTAGAGTCTGCACTAACAAACAACAACAACAACATACCCAGTGTAATTCCCACAGGTGGGGTTTGGGGAGGGTAGTGTGTACGCAGACCTTACCCCTACCTGGAGAGGTAGGGAGGCTATTTCCGATAGACCCTCGGCTCAAGAAAAGTAGAATAAAGTCTGCACTAACTGGTCTAAAAGTCACTTGAATGGACGATTGAATGCCAGTAATTTTGAATGAACATCGTGCTAGGAAAGTTGGAAAACTCAGGGAGTCAGAGGGAATTTGGGTTTTGCAGGCGTATTAGGAACGAGGAAGTTGAGGGGGCAATGCAGAAGATGAGCAGGGGTAAGGCAACTGGGCCTGACGAGATCCTAGTAGAATTTTGGAAGGGTCGGCAGGCTTGGAATGGCTTACTGAGTTGTATAATGCATTTTCAGGGTGAAGTTGATGCCCGAAGAGTGGCGGTGGAGTTTGATGATCCCGTTGTACAAACAAAGGTGATATTCAGGACTATAACAACTATGGAGTATCAAGCTGTTGAGTCATACTATAAAAATTTGGGAGAGGGTGGTGGAGAGGAGGGTGCGACGTAGTGTTACTATTTTGAAGAACCAGTTCGAATTTATGCCGAGAAGGTACTACAAAAGCCATTTACCTTGTGAGGAGATTGGTGGAGCAGTTTAAGGAAAGGAAGAAGAACTTGCATATGATATTCATAGACCTGGAGAAGCCTATGATAAAGTCCTGAGAGGGGTCCTATGGAGATGTATGGAGGCTAGCGGTGTCACAGTGACGTACATTAGGGTGATTAAGGACATGTATGAGGGATCGAAGACTCAGGCGAGGACTGCAGGAGGAGACTCAAATCATTTCCCAGTGAAGATGGGGTTGCATCAGGGATCGGCCCTTAGCCCGTTTTTGTTTGCCTTAGCGTTAGAGGTGCTGAAGCGACACATACAAGGGGAGGTGCCATGGTGTATGCTATTCGCTGATGACATAGTCCTAACTGATGAGACACGTGACAGAGTTAACACTAGGTTGGAAGTTTGGAGAAAGACGTTGGAGTCTAAGGGTTTCAAGTTGAGTAGGTCGAAAACTGAGTACCTAGAGAGCAAGTTCAATGATAGGATGCATGAAGAAGGAGCGGAAGTGAACATTGATACTCAAGTCTTCCCCAAAAGAGATAGTTTCAAGTATCTTTGGTGTATCATTCAAGGCAACGGGGAGATTAACGAGGATATTACCCATTGTATTGGAGAATGGTGGATGAGATGGAGGCTCGCCTCGGGGATTTTGTGTGATAAGAGTGTGCCACCTAGACTTAAGGGCAAGTTCTACAGAGTGGTGGTTAGACCGGCTATGTTGTATGGG